GCACTGAAGGCAGGCCCATAGGGAAGTTCATTAAACTGAAGGTGCTCAGAGAAATCTAGATGCACAACTAGATTGCTGCTAATTCACCTGGTGCTTCTTCCTCTGTTCCTTGTAAGTAGATTTCAGTGTCAAATATAACCTTGAGCATTCAGGTTAATTTATTTAAATAGACATTAAAGGTAAAATGTTGAGTGAATACATAAAGTCTGAGATCCCAAACAGTTCCTCATTCTTTCCCTCTCCTTTTATCACCTTGAATATTGTAAGGACTAATGACTTAATAAAATTAAGAGCTTTGAAGGTGAGTAGTGTTGGGTAATTACTAAATATGTTTCTTCCTTGTGCTAATTTCCAGCTTCTCTAGCACCAGTCTGTCCTTGTATGACCCTACTCAAGTGCTGCTATGTCACTCTATTCAGTTCTGTGCCTTATCTGTTCCTAAAAGTGTTATTTTGAAACACCCAAAGTTTACCAATTTGCAGTCTTCTCAGCACTGCAAGACTTACAGATGTGGACTCTTGCAAGCAAAGCTTGCCTGCTTGCTGCGCCTATTCACTCACACCACCGATTTTCATGCTCATTTGGAAACAATGTGATTTTAGAGTAGTTTCAGATGAAAGTAAAGCCAGTAGAGGATAGTTAACAAGATGGAGGGAGGGAGAGAGAAGAATAAAAGACAGAGGCTGTTGTAAACCAGCCCAGCAAAATTCCTATAACAGGTGGTTCCCATCTGGCCATGCAGTTTCTGTAATGCCCAGTTAGTTATCTAGCAGCTCAGGCTCTGAGGGACAGAGCCATAGCAGGTTAGCACCTTACCATTCCCAGCCATCTGCTTCATCTTCCTGCCAGAGATCACCTCCCAGAGCACAGGAGGCTGTGGGGTATAAGGGCAAACCCAGCTCAGAGTCCCGTGGCTTGGTGCACAGCCATGTTCAGAGGGGCATGAGCTGGTGATCCCACAATCGCAGTAACTGAGGCATGAAAGTATGTTCCCATCTGTTGTCCCTATTACTGGGGCAATAACCGCCATGAAAGGCACAAGGCTTGCATGCAGGAGGGTCACATATATACAGTACTAAGTATGACTGAGCTAATTTACCTATGAACCTCCTGCCAAAAACAAGAGCAGGAAAAGAAACTCTAGGAAGAAAAGTTCAGGAACTCATCTGAGCTTCTAGGCTGTACTACGCATGTCTGCTCAGTCTTCTAGAAAAACCCAGCCAAATTCATCGCTATGAGTACAACAGTAAGCCAGGCTGAAACCTTGCACTATGGTGCCACTACAGGTTATACGCAAGGAAAACCACATACCAAACCAATACAGCAATCAATCTCCACTAGTGTACTTGGGGTGCTAAGGGTGAAAAGGGAGGTGAGATGCGTGGGGTCAGCTGGCACTATGCCATGTAAGGGGTGATCAGTGCCAAGATGCCAGGGAATGTCCCAAAGTTGCCTCTCACGAAGCAGGATTGTACTACGTAAGTCAGTCTTCAGCAAGAGCTGTACATTCAGCGATAGATACAGTTGAGAGCAGAGCATTAGCTACAGCATCAAGTTCAAATAACAGCTCTAAGAGATCTTACAGCGCATTGATTGTTTACAAAAGCTGACGACTTGCCTGTTTCTCAGATCAGTTGCTGGAAAGATTTACAACTGTCTAGAGAAAAACTTCGGTCAAAATCCTGCTCCCAGCCACCTTTCATGCTAGCTGTAAATATGTTGCAGCCCAAGCCCTGAATACAGAGACACAAAACCCACCCTTTTTCCCCTCATTGAGCAGATTTTTATTGATAAACCTCAACGTTTGCAAAATTTCCAGCAATGTTTTAAGTGTTGGTAATATATCAAAACTGAACTGGAAAAGCAAAACTCTGCAACCAGTTGAAGAGTTTCTAGCTTTAATTATGGAAGAAGGAGCAGATTGAAGGGAGTGGGTGGAGGGAAGTCTGGGAACATACAGTACTGTGCACTATGAAATGTTGCAGGGAAGTGGAAGGCTGAAGGGCAGCCCCACGTATTTTAGAGATTTAACGGTAAATGTTATTGCTCTGCACATGTGAAAGACATAACATGTATTTTTTTCAGTCTAACCAGCTCACTTCAGATTAAGGCAAACAAGGAAGAATAAGTATTAAACTTCCATAAGAGACACACAGTGACTCACAGTTGTGCATCTGAGATGAAACACAAAAATGGCAACTGCCTCAAGTTGCCTTTGCCACACGAGGGACTCCTCACTGTTTAAAGAAAGAGGGCTATGGCACACTACCTTAGTTTATAGCACACAGCTGAAATTACAGTCATCTTCACTTATCAAACTGTTAAAAACCACAATTTTCTTTAATTTCCTTTTAGCAACAACCTTTCTGCCTACATGTTTTGGAATCCAAACTCCCTGGCACCATAGCTTTAGCAACACAGCCATCCTTTCAACCGATTTCAGCAGGAGGCCCCCACATGCACCACAATATCCAAAATGTTGGATTACAAAGTCACAGCCTGAATTTCCAGAGGGAGATGGTCAGAAAATTAATTGGGGCTTCCTTTGCCAGTGAAACAGTTTACGTTTCTCAGCAACAGAGTAATAACACCAAATCCAAGTGCTCCAATTCATGGATTTTTAATTTCTTGTATGAGCACTTCCACATGATCTTGCTCTCTGGGACAACACTTCTCTGGATACACCAGAGTCCTATGCTGCATCACTAGCAGCACAGTAGAAGACACCTACAGCTACAACACACCATGAAATAGATCATCTGGGAAAAGAGCTCAACCCATAGAAAAAAACCCAAAACAAACAGAAATTAAATACCCAAACTAAAACAACTCTGGGGACAGGTTCATTGTAAGAAGTCCATGCTTTCCAGAGAAGCTTGGTTTCATGAATATCCCCTTTTCATCCAAACAGTTACTGATGAGAAATTTTGAACCTAAAAAATCAACTTTAGTCCTAATATCATGATTTAATTTGTTGACTAAAGCACAGCATTGTCTCTTTGAAAAGAAAAGAGCATCATATATGTAGCAGTGCCATTTTTGACCATAGTTCCCTCTGGAAGTTACAGAGCCAACAATTTTAGTCATTTGACAACCAGCACTATTTGCAGGCATCAATGCCCATATTGCTCTGAATCTGAGCAGCTGTTTCCTGAACCTTATCATCACACCACATGCAAAACAGAAATGAGAGGAGCTCTTGCAGAAGTCCAGAGGAAAGCGGAAACCAGGCCCTCAGAGGTGGTAAAGACCAGAGAGGAAGCAGGCATAACGGTCCTGGAGAAAAGAGAAGTTTGAAACACTTCGTACTGGAGCAGGAAACTGCTCTGCTACCCAACTGCAACAGCTTCTGAAGCTGCAATAGCAAAGCAAGAACTGACAGGAATATAGAAAGGGAGGAAAGATAGCCCCTCTGACTCTTGTCACACTTCAGCTGATAAACAACTCCAGGGACTAACTTTTTGTCCCAAGCACATCACGCAACTTCAGAGACTGATTTAGTTGTATGGAGGACAAAATCCAGCACAGGGACACAGAGCTTTGGGAAGTACCAATGCTTTTTATCTCCCTCCTTTAACAGTTCTTATAAGTTACCAGAATTCAGGGCTCCAGAGCTCCTTTTGGACCACACTGACAATCCATGTGCTCACAAAGCCTGACTTGCTTAGAACCTCCAGCTCCCCCCAGTACTTTATTCATTTCATGCTCCCCTCTAAGCAATCAGGCTTTTGTCACCCAGGCTTGATCCCTGCCAGACGCTACAGCAGTGGGGCACTGCTGCAAAAGTAGGGTCAGAGTACGAAGTATCAAGATGCTAGCTCAGCCTCACAGAGAATGCTTGTGACTCAAGTTTCACCACAGCAAAGGAAAATTCTCACACCTCATTATTTTTGATTCAGTGAGAAGATTACCTCGAGCAACAATAACTTAGAAACAATTCAATTCCCAAGTCTATATTTTGTCACCACCAGCTCTATGTAAACTGGGGAGCCTGTGGCTGCTTCTGCACATGTTGCAGTTGCTTCTCTGGTTTACCACAGAGAAGGAAGTTGGATGCACAGGCTGGCTGGAAAACCACTGTGAGGAACAAACCTGTGCCTAAAGAAAGCCTTGAGGCTCAAGATTATATGCTCTGAACTGGCCAAATCTTTCACCTCTAGCCACAGCTCTGGAAAGTACTTGCACATGCTGTTGGTTGTGGCAGCTGAGCTGTCAGTTGTTGCTGTTGGCTGTCACCAGAGAGTGACACATTGACAAGCCTTAAGGCATAGCAGAGTCTCATGGAGGCTAGCAAGGAAGAAGATGGAAGTAGAGAGAAAGCAATTATGTTTGTACAAGAGTTTTGGAGCTTAATGCACAGAAAGGGGTATTGTAGGAACTGTTAAGAGCCATGTTCGTGTCAATCATCAGCTGACTTTGACCTTTGAGCCCAGCTCTGCTAAAGTCTCACAGAAAGACTCCTGGGTTAGAAATATCACATGATGGGGGACCCAGCATGAAATACTGCCAGAACTCAGTTACACAATTTTATTTTTATTTTTGGACTTTTCATCCCATTTCAGGATTCAGTTTCCCAATCAACTTCAAACCATCTTGTAATACAAATGAGTTAAAAAACATCATCATAACCCATTGTTCATCAGTGCTGAGGAAGGAATGGCAACGCACAGACCCTGGGAAGAGCAGTTGTGCTAAAACTTCACTGTTGCATGAGTACTGACTACCCAACTTGATTTCCCTGAACTTAGCTCATTTTCCCACACAGTAGGTTTTAGCCACAGATAGACTATCATCTGAATGTGCTTCCAACTGAAGTGGCAGGAAGGACAGAAGTAACCATTTAACATAGGGTATGGGAGCTTTGAGCACATCTTGGGAAATTTTTAAGGAATATGTAATCTGGTTTTTATAACACTTCTATGTTTCATTGTTTTCTTCTATACAGTCAGTTTCTTCTTAAAAATACAGCTTGCTACCCACTGCCTTCTGTCTCCAAACAGATCACCAGCAAGATTTTGCTTTCAGCATTGACCGTTGTTCTGATATCACAACCCACACCTTTAACATCAGAGCTGCAATGGTCCTAAGTAAGTGAATTGATATTGTCTCGTGTCGTAAACAGGTAATCCATGTGTGAGCACTGGTATTAAGTAAGCAAGAGTAACAACCTCATATAAATACGAATGGGCTTTATTTCTGTGAAATTTCAACACCTGTGAGGACTACAGAAATGTCAGTTCTGTTACTGACTCAGCCTCAGACTACTATGTTACCCTAAGCAGGTCATATCTGCCCTCAACCCCCATTCCTCTTCTACCCTTCATCTGTACATATGGATAGCCAAGGTGGGGGCTGCTCTTAGAGCTTGTTTTCACAGCTAAATCTTCTGAGGAGAGTCTTGTTAAATGAGACAGCTACAGCACTCACACTCTTGTGTCAGCACCAGCGGTTCTTGCCAAATAGCCAAGGCTGACCCTTGCAGGTAGAAGACTGAAGGGACTCTGGCAGGGCAAGGTGAGGGCACCTCTCTGCCCCTCCTGGGTATGCAGAGAAGCATGCTGGAGGAGTGCTGGGGAAGTACTAGCCTGAGGCAACAGTCATGTTAACCACCTGTGCTAGCTGAAATTATAGCCTTCAGCACTTGACTGATCAGCAATAAAAAGTCAAAAGCAGAACTGCATTTGAGCTAATGGGCTGGGTGCACAAGTTAATATTAGCCATAGCTTGCTTTGTGATCCTTGCACAGGAAAGCCATCTTCTTGCAACCCTGTCGGCCCCAAGCTCACTTAGAACCTATACATATGAGAGGGCTGCTGTATGCTCCTGGTGCTGAAAATAAGTGTGTGCCAAGCGTCTTTTAGCATTTGGGAATGCTTCCTTGCATGAAAAAGGTCTCCCTCCTGTGAGACATGCTGCCCTTTTGCCTGGGGACCATCAGTTTTCAGGTGGCTGCAAAGTTAAACAAGCTTGCAAAGTCACATTACAGGCATCTGCTAATACTTTTCCAACAATTCAGAGTACAAGACCTCCTTCTAAATCCAGCAGCCTCACTGGCTGTATTTATGCTAGCAAGTCAGGCACAAACAGACAACCTCCCAGCATTGCCAAGCTGCTATACCAGTCCCTGGCACAAGTCTGGCTTGGACCAGCTACTGTTTTCCCAGGCAGCAGGTACACACCACAGGCTGCTCCCAGGGCCCCACTGGATATAGTTCCTCTGCTAGGGACAGTAGGAAAGAAAGTTTAGATGTACGGACACGAGATTTACTATGCCAGTTGTCTCAGAATCAGAGAATGGTTATGGGCATAGTTTATTTAACAATAAAGATAATGTGCTATTATGTCCCTTAAGGGACTTAGAGACCTGTTCCTGAAGCATGGATTTCTATGTATCAGGAGTTCTCAGTGAAGAAAAAACACTTAATGGTTTAAATATCAGGGGGGGAAAAAAATTGAATATTTTAAAAAATAAAGTAGTAAACCTGTTTACCCTTGCACTTTTTCTGAGCTCTCCTTCTGCTTTATGTGTAGGACACAGCATCAAGGAACTGTACGTCAAGGTTGACCTGATCATAAACGGGAAGACTGTCTTAACCTACTCAGAGACACTTTGCGAGCCAGGTCATTCTAAGCTCATTTTCTGTGGAAAGAAGAAAGGAGGTAATTTAGGTAGCATTCTAAGTGTTTGATGGCTACTGAATACTCCAAGCAGGATGCACCCGCTGTGCTGTTGAACGCACCAATACATCGTAATGTTCTGTTTACTTCAACAGCATGTTAATGGATGACAGAAACACAGTAGGACAGAGACATTTTAATTTCAGAGGCTGCTTTTTTCCCTAACCTGTTTGCTTGCTTTTCTTTTAATCACAGAATATTGCACACACATGGGATTTTAAAGTCCATAAAAAGTAACTGTGGTAATGTGACCCCATCCAACAGCAAAGAGGTTTGTAAGCCCTATTTATAGGCACATGGTTGTCATGTGAGCAAGAAGTATGACAAAAATAAAGGCCAGTTCTGTAAAAGAAATGGCTGAGCAAACAAACAAGCCATTCTGAACATGTTCTTCACTATTAAGCAAGTAACACTTCCTGTCCTTAAAAGCAGTTCTTCACTCACTTTAAGAGGAATTATGCTTGAATAAGGATATTTGGACTGAGATGCTATTTGATATGATCTATAGTCTGCATCTTGTTTCTGCTCAACATGTGCCTGTGTGGCAGTCAGATGATTTCATTTCATGACAGTCAAACTGCCAGACGGTGCAGACGTGCAGTAATTGGTTTACAGTGACATTAGCTGCCCACAGAAAGCAGACATCTGCGGTCCCAGGTGAGCCTGGGCACTTATCAAGATCCCTTCTGCCACGACCCAGGCCAGGTAATGCAAAGCTAGCTATGGTCATGCCTCTGAACTGTCATACTGACTTATCTTAAACGGTTATTTTGAAATCCCTCTTACATCACTATCATCTCTTTAGACTGATTTCAAAATAAACAGGTAGAGCTGCAGGGAAGTTTCAGAGTCATTAGAGCACCAGTTAGTTTCAGAAGCTCTGCTTTCCTTCCATTCACTTGCATCTCCATCCTGAGAACACTGCAATAACTCATGTGCAAGGGCTATGGCTTTAAAGACCATGCACAGCACTACTGCTAAAACAGCCTCTGGAAAAATTACTCAGACATTTCAAACAGCATAGAAATATCACAAAGAATGATAGAGAAATGCTGCATGAGCAACCAATTATGTAAATCCTGTAAGCCAAATAGACAAAAAAATTAAATTGAGAGGTTTCTTCAATTGTGTATTGAATTACAAGGGGGGAAAAAAGCCACCCACAGACATATTGAAAAACTATCTTATTCTGATGAAGTACTAAATAACATCCTTTAGAGAATACATTAAGAAGTAGAGTCAGTCCCAAGCTTAGCACAAACTGCTATTCACACATTAAGCCACAAAACAAAAACCTCCTGGGGTTTCCAAGCCCCTTAATCTTAAACTGACAGGTGATTGTTTCTACTAATTAAAGTACATTATGATATAAAACCATAGTTGGTTGTTTAAATAATACTATATATCTTCATTTAGAAGCATCTCTAAGTTAGTGCAAGGACCTCTGCCACACACTTTTTAATACACATCCTCTTGTTCAGTAGCTGGTTTTATTTAGCTATTAAGTCACAGTGGGAAAGAAGTGAACTTTCTCAGACTAAGGTTCAAACTGAAAATATGGTATTTCTTAATTAGTTGACATTTGATTCTAACCCATGTTTTGGTACACAGAATTAAGCTGAAGACCAATTTGAGGCAATTCAGCACAGCCATAATTTACCATATTAGCACATCTTTAAATATGCCCTAATATCTATGCAGAAAGGACATTGTGAATGGCCAAGTATGCAGCCTAGCAAAGGTACTGAGGAGCAGATAGCCCTTTCGGCTGAAGCTTTTCATGGAGAGCCCCTTTTTCCCTGTTGTATGGGCAACATTTCCAACATTTGGCCAGACCTGACATGAGTTTAAATATAGTTCCACACAGAATTTGCTTGCCTTCTACAAGGAGGCCAAAAAAAAAATTAAAATAATCACCTGTTCCTCCCTCTCCCAAAATGAGACAGAATGTACTGCTAAAGGCTTTGTTGGTCCACTCACTCATGAGGACAACTGGAGCATTTAAAAGAAAAGAGAGGCTTGCAAGTGCCGGATGTGGCAGTCTTGAGTGTTTGGGGCTGCTTTTTTTCTTTGCTCACATATAATGCCACAGTTTTACCATGACTGGAAATACTGTAGGAGACTTAATATAGCTGGAGGTTTCATGTTCATCATAATCATATAGTATTTACTATTTATGTTAAGCAAAGGTCAAATCTGGCACTGCTCACTGGGACTCCTAAATAGGATTCCAAGATCTTTTTCTTTGAGCTATATGCCTGTTGTGAAGTTGTTAGCTCAAAGGTTGCAAAGAAATGGTCCACCGTCCATTTAAGAATAACAATAACAAAACAGCTAAATTATTTGTGGCATAACATGAACTCAGCTCTTCCTCTTTTTTAGTAGAAAGTGCTGGTTATTCCCCATTTCCTCCAAACTAAATGGTTACATAAGATTTAACAGATTTCCTCATGCAATCACCAAAATCAGAGAAAAAGATCTACCAGGGTAATATTTAGCAATGTCCCAGCCACAACTTGCAGGCTTAAACAAAGCTTCCTGACAAGACAGTTGCATCCTCTGCAAGTCCACAAGTTTTCTTTCAGGCCCAACTGATAAAGGCACCATCAGAGCACTTGCACGATTCCTTGTGCACACTCCCAAACCACAGAGAAAACCCCTCTTGCTTCTGACCTCCATTCTTTACATTATTGCCTTTTTCAATATGTGTTACAGTACGCAAGTTTCTAAAATAGTATTTGTGAATAGAAGTAGAGAATATAACATGAATTACAGAACTGGGTATCACATTGAGAGTTTAGGTACATGTTTCTGAGAAACTAACTATACCACAAAGCTAGGTCTTTGGGGCTGATATAGAGTGCCATCTTGCTTAGCCCCTTTATCTCACTTTTGCCTCCCCAGTAGAGAGAGTGGATGTTTCTCACCCAGCTATGTATTTATATACGTTTTTCTCACTCAACTATACATGCATAGCTGGCAGTTATTCAGATCACTCCTGCATCCCTAAAACTCACAGAAGCTGTGTGTCAGTTGCATGGGTGCAAGATCGTGTCCTAGAAGAACTCCAACATGGAGCATTTAAGTTCTAAAAAGACTTAAAACATAGAAAAAAGAAGAGGTGGGTGCAGATGTACAGGGCCTTTATATAGTACAAGAGTGTGAGAACGTATCAAGATTTTTCAGTGCAAGGAAGATTTGAGAAAGAGGAGTGAGAATTTCATTATAGGTGTTTTGTCAGGAATGAGAGGCATCTTCATGATAAATGGTAACTAGTAACTTGAAGTAATCCTCAGGAAGTTCTTTCTTACACATTTGAAAGCTCTGCTTCCGCCCGGAAGCAACTAGAGGCCTGCTTCCTAGCAGGGAAAAGGACTAAGTTACTTCTGGTAGAAACAACAGTGAAAAGCTGCTACAACAAAATCACCTCAGATCAGCAGTACCTGAGAAATGTTTTCCAGGATGCTCTACAGAAATCACCTTCAGTTAAGTCTTTAAAAGACCTGAAAATGAAAGGTGGACTGAAAGCATGTCACTGATGACAGCATGCTTGACAGATACCATAGCTTACCAACAGACCAGTAAAGACATAGAGGAATTTTTAATTGGAAAAATGCACTTGTGATCTATGCTGTTCTGAATGTTCGTGCATTTGTTGCAACTACATATGGGCTTGCTCTAAAAAGACCACAGAATTCTTTCAATGAGCCAGGCTCAGTGTTTGTGACAGTTACACTTACTGCAGCAGATGTGTTCATCCCGTTTCAATGAAGGAATGCAAAAATGTATGAATATATGGAGAAAAATGTATATGAAGGATGCTGTGATAAACTACAGTCCTTAAAGCCTTGGAGGATGTTTACACTTCTGGAATTATAGCAGAAATTCTCATGTGAGAGGAACATTGAATGGGCTTTGAAAAGGCTTATCCAGCCAGCATAGGCACTGAGAAGGTTGCCATGGTCTGAAGTGAACATGACTGATGAAATTCAGCAGATCTATGGATCCAGAATATTTTCTGGCAGGTGTCAACTAGATGAAGATGAAAGCTGCCCTTGCTCTCCTATCATGACATACTTCCAAAGCAGCATAGTCCTTTCCTCTCCCTATTCCTTGAAAGCAAGAAAGGTCACAAGAGTTATCTAGAGGTCTAGTTACAGAACCACAGAATGGCTTAGGTTGTGAAAGGACCTTTGAAAGTCATTTAGTCAAACTCCCACCTACTCAAGTAGGGCCAGCTTCAGCTGGTTGCTCAGGACCATGTCCAGGTGCAGTTTTTGAATACATCCAGGGATGGAGATTCCACAACCTCTTTGGGCAACCTCTGCCAGTACTCAGTCACCCTCACAGAAGAAAAAAAAAAAAAAAAAAAAAAATCTTTCTTGATGTCCAAAGGGAAACTCCTGTGTTTCAGTTTTACCCACTGCTTCTTGTCCCATCACTGGGCACCACTGGAAAGACCCTGGCTCTGTCTTCTTTACACCCTCCCTGCAGGTATTTGTACATATTGACGTGCTCTTCCCTAATCTTTCTGTTCTCCAGGCTGAACAGTCCCACCTCCCTCAGCCTTTCCTCACTGAAGAGATGTTCCAGTCCCTTAATCATATCAGTGGCCCTTCACTGGACTCTCTCCAGTAGCTCTGTATGATTAATAACTGTGAACCACTGCAGGACCCCTGGCTAGAAAGAGCTAAATAAGGGCAATGCTGAAGCATAAAGCGGCAATGCTGAAGCATAAACCTCAAACTGAACACACAGCACCTAGCTCCACAGTTGGAGGCTCCCTAAAAGAGAGTACAGCCCAGAGTGACTCCACTGATTACCAAGCAAAGGCATAGCTACCACACATCAGAGCAATCGTGGAAAACTTGTCAGGGCTGAAGCAGAGCCCTAAGACCACATTCATCTAGCTCTGATGTAATCATTATTTTGCCACATCAAAGTCGGGGAAAAAAATAGCTTCTACCTACACTGAAGGAGAGATTAGCATTGCCATCATTTCAGAAGCAAATTTATGGCCCGATGACTCCTACTTCATTTTAAAGTATATGTTTTGCAGAGCTTGAATACTGCATTTGTATGTTTAGGTTCTAGATGGCTTTCCAACAGCCTAGGTGAGACCCTAACAAGCGGCATGATCCAAGAGGAGATTCCATGTCTCTGTGGAGAAGGAATTTTGGGAAGGGCGACGGTTTACAGCCTAGTTTCCTCTCGACTCTGCTGCCATCCAAGATTTGCTAGGCTCACAGTCGACTGAAGGAGAGAGTCAAACAAGGCTCTCTACTGAACAAAAACCATAAGCCATGCCATTACATGTCCATACCACCCTGAAAGTGCAGCTCACAGTATGGCTTAGCACACACATCACCACACATACAGCTCAAGCCCCAGGGGAGTCACTCATCAAGTCATGCAGTCTGCAAGTGCCTTTAACTCCCATTTAGACTCCAGCAAAGTTGTGAACTGAGAAGTGGGCTGCACTGTATTTTTAAGATTCTTGAGTCACCGCTCTCTTCTGCGGAGATGTGTCAGACTCAGGGACTCTTGTTTCATGCACAGAAGCAAGTAGTGATGCCGACTGCTCTTTGAAAAGCAAAAGACTTCTTGGCGCCCAGGTGAAGCAGCCAGGGATGGAAAGGGAAATGAGTACAGTATGAGTGCTGCAGCATAGTTGATCAGTTTGAGAGTGACAAGCTAAAACACATGTATTCTATTCTCTGTTTTGGAATTAGGTTTTTCAGGGAAACACTGAAAAGTTCTGCATCTTCTCCACCTTCCAGGATCATCATTACATTTAGCAAACTCCTCATTAATGCAAAGGTGTAGAACATTGATGATGTTTCAGGTTTCTCCTTTCTCCTAGTTTATCTTACAGTCATGATTCTTTTACACAAGTTCGTTACACAGCATTGACTAACATTTCATAGCATGTGTGGGGAAGACCTTCTGTGAACTCTCTTCCAAGTCACACCTCCTGCACGGTGGGACGGACCATACAACATAAACATGTTACAAACCTTTTTGTGCAGCCTTTCACAAGAAACAGTTTAAATCAGCACAGTGAGACTGGACTAAAACAACTCTCTAGAAGTGACAAGCATCAAGATACCAGCACATACTCATATAAATATGATGAAACACTCCTCTGTCACTGTCAAAGTAAAGAATATTTCACAACACCTACAAAAGAGAATCCTTAAACAGTTCTTAGACTTTTCCACAACTTGTGGAGGGCAAGTTGTGCAAGAAATTCTGAAATACTGAAACATCTACAAATTTTATTTTCAGTCAAGTCTGCACAGTTTAGCCAAGCAAGCTATGAAAAAGTAGGAGGAACTGCAGAACAGCTTGCTAATTCTGTCCATTAATGCCAAAGTTGCCCTTTCTTCAACAGCAAAGAGCAAGCATGCCTTGCGACTAGGGAGATGAGGATTGAAAGGTGGAACTCCTGGGCTCTATTCCAGTCACCAGCACAACTTGTGATGGCTTTAGTACATCATGTAACTTCTTGGTGAAGGCTCTCTTAGCAGTGAGATAGACATGTTCTTATTACTTTAAGATTATGTTCAGCAAGCAGTCAGAAGTCCACACCTACAGAAATACTCAGCTCATATTGGTTTCTCTTAAATTTACCAAAACAGTATAGTGCAGCTATTGCAGCTGCAGGTGTTTAATAGATCATGCTAAAAGATTTGTGTCTGGCAATCCTCCTCCCTTTTCATTTCCCCATTTGCAGGATGTGTACTGACATAGGAATACCTACCCGGTTGTGCAAGCCATACCCCCCTCCTCCACTCAGATAGGAGCTGCAGGCCCTCCTTGAGGCCAGGCTCTGCCTTGCTTTCCCCCCATAAGGCAGTACGCATCCTGACAATTCTCTCAGGAGGTCTGCTGCAAGACTGCGTAGAGAGCACTTTGCAGCTCCATAGCACTTGTCACCGGAACGCTTTGAAGTACTATTACAAAAAAGCATCTACAATCAGCTGCCTGTTTCCTTCATATGCTGCATGTCTAAGCACTCATTACCATTTTTGCTTTTCAGAACACCTCTACTATGAGGGACCAGTCACACTGGGATTCAAAGAAATCCCACAGGTAAGTTGGTCACAGCTGCACTCCCAAACAGAAGGGCTTTCTGGATGAGGTATGGTCAGAGAACTACCAGCAATCATATCAGCATATTGCAAGCTCCCCCAGCTGGCACACTGGATCTGATAGTGTTCAGGTAACTAAACTTTTTCAAAATGAAATCAAGTGGCTTTGCTTAAAGCATTAGAAAGCCATCACTATCCAGAGACAGACAGGATTTCTCAGGATAGACAATCCCCTCTACCAGCACTGAGTCATACAGCCATACAGTACTTTAGTAGGCTCATCCTCTATTACTCTTAAAATAGCCAGAAAAGACGCAGCTCCAAGGGTCTCCTGAGAGACTAAGGCTGCAATTCAGCTCACGCCTTAGTGAGCTAAACAATTTGGAGAAGCTCATTCATCCTCACTGGCTATAAAGTTTAGATAACTATTGCAAATGTATGTGTTCCACTGTACATACATGGCGTTAGAGATGGAGGTCTTCGAGGGTGCAACTGAAAGCACCAGTTATTTGGCCAAGAACATTTTCTCTGGACCTACAGAGCCTTAAAATAAAAACATAATTTCTTAGAAAGGTGAGAAAACAGAAGTACTCTAGGCACTGCTCTGATTTTCCTGATCATCCATTATAGATGCTTTTTACAAGCAGCCTTCTCCATACTCAGCTACATCTCCTTCTAGAAGGTCAACCAAATCCCACTGCAAAGCAAGATAGGTTTCAAATGCTGAACACACCACTGTCTCCCCTAACTGGATACAAAATGAAGCTATATTTGACCAGTAAATAACAAAGAATTTTTAGCCCCACACATCAAGAGACTGAAGGGGAGGAGGCAAGATCTGGACCAGGGAATCTGGTTGAGAATGTGGTGAAGAAAGGATCAGTCACCACTGTGAAAGCACACAGTTAGGTGGTCAAACACTTCTTAGGTACACTCAGAGAAGCGCAGCATGAGCTCTTAGTTTTTCAGCAGCAGACATAATACCTATGTCAGCCTCAAAGATGAGGTCTGGGGCCTGCTCAACACTGGCTTGGTCCAGGTGCAGGAAAATGAGAAGACAGGATCAGAACAGGAATATATAACAAGGACATGAGTCCCAGAGAGCTGGGCTTGCCAAGACCTGCAGGGGTGATAACAAGGATACCCGTCTTCTGGGAGGATTGAGTGTCCATAACAGCTACCATCTCATGTGTCTTAGTGTTCCCTTGGCGATAGTGGCGACCACACCTTAATTTTCCAAGGCTTTCATACAGGGAGCTGGGCCCCTTTATTCAGGCTGTTACCCCACCCAGCCTGCTTCCCTAAAGGCTACATCTAGAGATGTATTGAGCAATGCCTTTTGATCTCTCAAACTGGAAGCTCAATATGAGCTCACCGAGCTCATACCAGTTAGCATCCTGCTTCAGGAGCAGGTTTACTAACATACTGAGGACACTTACATAGTAAAGGTTCTGGACAAACTGACAAATAGGTCTTTAGACCAAGAGGAAGCCCTAGAAACATCCACACAGACCAGTGAAACACCAGTTCTGGGAAAGTTAGCTGAATTTGGAGCCAGAAATTCTAAAACTGTTCACAATCCTCTTAGTAACAATTCCTACCCATAAACAAAAAATTATTCTGGAGGAGGAAAAATATCACTAATGAGCAATGGAAACGAGTTATTATAAACTCCTTTCCATGAATGAAACTATAAGTTTTGGAGAATTAACATGCTTGGGAGAAAGGGAATAAGAAGCCTTTTTTGTTAATTAATCAATCAGGCAAATAATGCCATCCTTCCATGCTAGTAATAAGGAGTTATTCCATGCAGCAATCATCATCTGCTCATTACCAAGAACAGCCTCATCTGAGCAGCGCAAAGGACATTTGCACAGTATGCACAGCAATTACAACAAAGCTGTGTTCCCATGAGCATGTTGCCATTGGGCCTCTCTCTAAATTTGGATGTTACACTTAACTTGAATGTCTCTGTGAGGACACAGGCCAGTTATTGCTTTAGAAATCCCATGGTAAAAGGCAAATGCCAAGAAACCTGACTCATTCTAGCTGTGCCTCCCTTCTACTCCACAACCAAAAGAATCCTAAGCAGGGCAAGAGCTCTCTATGGTTCAAAGCCAGGAGGCCACTGCTGCCAAGCTCTCCTACTCCAGGTTTTGGTCCCCGCCACACTTCAGAAAAAACAGAAATACCGCAGTGCCAGATATGTAGAGTGAATGAAATCTAGCTCACCTCTTCATCCAAATCTGTTAAATGAGCCTTGTCACCTTCCCTGTCCTGTGCTTCTCCTTCAAGCATCTGAAAAGAGCAATTTTGACCAATAAAAAAATTGCCATGCGTTGTTTAAGGTTGAGATTTTTGCACTTAAATTATACAATTATCCCCAAAGCCTGAATTATTAGTTTTAATTACATAATTTGAAGACTACTTCTTGCTTTATTTCATGGGAATTCACAGATCGAGTCATCTGTACACATATCCCCAAAGGTGCTTGCACAAAAATTCCTATCAATAAGTGTACACACTGAACAACAAGATCCAAGGAAGAGAAGTGCCAGACAGCTGAGCACCTCATCCCCTTCCAGTTACTAAACAGCACAAGACATATTGTGCTCGCTCATAAGAAACATGAGAAGTTACACAGATCTGAAAGGAATTTTTATGCATCAAAACATTTTGTTCCCCTTGCACTGTTTTAATTTTGAACTTGTGCTGTCAGCATTGATATCCCTGATGAAAGTATTTTGGCAGAAAATATGGGCAAGTCCTTTACCAGTTCTGAAACATTTGGACAGGAAATGTTTTGGAGGAACTTCATGGGAAAAGTATTACTCTGTTTCTAGGAAGAGGACTCCCTCATAGAAACAGCAGCAGTTACATATTACTGATGGGCTAATCTCTTGCTTTGTGTTTGTCTCATACAGGGAGATTACACTATTTCAGCAAAACTGACTAATGAAGATCACTTCACTGTCGCTTGTGCTGATTTTACTGTGAAAAATTATTTAGATTATTACTAGCAAAAAAATCATTTCATGAAAGCTACAGACCACCAAAGCTATTCAAGCCAAGTGAGCTGCTTGCATGCTACAATGATTCTGAAGGAAATAATCCGCACATGGTGTTTCTGATGCTGTTCCTCTTTATCATTCACTATTTTCAAGAAGTCACTAGACCCTCTAGTGGCAATTTTATCTCTAAATATACATTGTAGCCCACTTTTTGCTTCTAATATATACAGCTGCAAATAGAAAGTATTGATACCAACATTCTCATTTAAGGATGAAAATAGCATGAGGTAGAACAGGTGAGAGCCTAAACATTTTTTTTGCAGTAAGTTATGGAGGTATCCATTTCTAACACAGGCTAAAGACGACTTGCATGTATACCACATATTATACAGTTACAGCACTCAACATTTTCAATCTTACCTGGAGCCCACCTGGAGCCTCCAGACAGTATAGATTTTGTTGTAAGCACAGAACAAAGACCAAATAGGATGGGATGAACATGCCTTTTTTTCCAGTGACCCATGTCCTGTCACTGGATTTATATCATTCAAGTCTTCTGGAATCTACCTGGAATTTTTTTGTTCTTTAATGCCTTTTAAGTGATATGTGAATCATTCTGTACCTAAGCCATGTACTCTTCTTGCTTCTCAATAAATTTATAATGAAAGAATAATTTTTTCTCATTTTTCCTTGCAATTCTAGGATCTATCAAAAGCTTAAAGTGTGGGGGAAAGGGAGGGGGAAAAGATTGAAGGAAACAAGTTAAATGAACACATTTCTATATGAAATATCAATCACATTGATACACATTTTATGTTAGCAGAGGACAAACTGTTCCTTTCTTTGAGCATGAAGCCCCAGGAGAAGTAAACACAATGTATACTCCCAGGTGCAGCACATCCCCAAACCCTCTCATTCCAGGAGCCTTTGCAGCTGTCATAGATGATGGGTAGGTAGATAACAAAGCATAGGGCAGCACACAGAATTAGGATATTGGGTTGGAGCGTGGAGACCTGTTTGGAAGATGGGGAAGGATCAGGAGTAGGGCTAAGTTCTGATTTGGAAAGGTATGGGCAGGAATCAGAGGCACAGGAGGGTCCTGGAGCTGAGCAGAGGCTTACGAAGGACGGTAGTGAGCATTGGGCTGCATGTCTCATCTTGGAGAGGTTCTGAATGTACAGCTAGGGCAGCTGTGGCTTACAGCTGGCCACACAGGAGCTCCAACGCATGACCTCCATCCTACACACCCACACGCCACAGCTCAAAAATTCCTGAGCAGCAAGAGTATCCCTGCTGCACAGATGACCAACGCTGTAGAGCAGCCAATAGCTAGCAGCAAGGGATAGTGCCTTGCTTCCCTTCCATGCAGTGAAATTCTCACCTGCCATCCCAAAGGTGAGCAAGTATTTTGAGGCCTCACAGAGGGGAGGCTTACTGCTGCTGAACATGAACCAGCAAGCACCAGAAAATGGGATAGAGCATGCTTAACACACTGTGGTTTCAGCTCATTTCTAGTACACCTTGATTTGAAAAAAAAAAAAAAAAAAAGCCAGCAAGGTTCATCACAGCTTTGGCCACCAATCCCCAGATCAGAGTTCAACTCTAAAGTGCTGATGCAGTTCTGGAAGCAGCACATCCAAGTTACCACCATTGCTGTTTTACATCTTATAACTAACAAAAAAGTATCACAGGACAGACACACACTCAGTTTGTCTTCATGTCAGTAGCTCTTTACATCTCTCCCCATGATTCCCAGAAGATATCAGAGGAGCCATACCTTAAGGAGAAGCTAACAAAACTGCATTCAGCAACACTCACACAAGAGTCCACTTGTTCAGCTCTGTTCCACCGTAACCACACAACAAAAGCATGACTAAAATCCAAATTCCTGCCACCAAGCTTCTTGATCTGTTATCTGATAAAAATTCACCAGATGAAAAACAAACTCAGTGCTAGTTTAAACACTTCTACCTGAAAGCAATCCCATAATATCCAAGATCCCCTTAGCCAAATTTTGCCAGGCTCCTTATACCCTGAAGCATGCCTGGAGGGGCCCTCAGGCCCACCCCCAGCAAATAAGGCAGTCCTCACCTCCACATGGTACACTGGCTGCCCTAGAATATCTGTAGCAGAAGCTGCTGCAGGGGGTCTCAGCTGCCCAAAAAGTAGGAATTTAATCTCTAAAGCATCAGACTTCTGGCCCTCAAGATCTTCCATCACTGACCCTTCACTTCCCAGCTCACACACAGGCATTGCAAATCCCAAGACCAGCTGAACAACATTTGGCTTCCTATCACAAAAACTGCTTGCCCTTTTCCTCTTGGAATTAAGCTGAAGAGCCAAGACTAAATTTTAAACCCAAACTCCCAAGGCTTAAACTAGAGCTTTCTCCATAGCAGAAGAAAGGTATGTTTGCTGTACCACAGAGCCATGGAGCTTTGTTGTCTAAAAATCATTCAGAGCTTAGCAGCTCAAGGTCTCAGCTGCTGTCTAAATTAAAAAGGGCTCTGCCCTTTCAGCCTAAGAAATGCCTCGGTTTCTTCCTTGAATTCCTGTTTCTAATCAGACACCATTGTGCATGGTCAAGCAACAAAAACAGGGCTCATCTTCACTGATCCCAGCACAGTTAATGAATCCCCTGCTGTCCCAGAAGGTCTGTGGTGTATTCACACTATCACACCAGAATTCAAATACATTTGGCAGCTACTGCAGTTGTCTTCTGAAATTGCCTCAAAAAGCTTAGTAAGGGCACTGTAGCAACACCCAGGCTCTGAACATAGCTCAGCTGTGCAAGGTTGAGAGCAATATCCTGCAGAGATTTGCAGCCTGAACAAGGAGGCTGTTGGGTTTTGCCAAAACAAGGATCTGCACATTTCCAGCCAGCTCTCCTTGAAGTCAGGGGGGTGAGGCACAAGTGGACCCCACGGCCAGATTCTGGGCTCTCAGCCCTTGCTGGCAAGATTGCCTGAATTGGAAGTGTCTTTATGCTGTCACTTCTGTTATGTTGAAAGATGCTACTCATTGCATAAAGATCCATTGTTTAAACTTCTACATTCTCCAGTGTAGCCCTAAAATAATCCCAGAGTGGCTCCATTTTATCCTTTTGATAGTGCTCTGCAGCATGAGAAAGGGAAGCAAGGGGAAGAGGATATCTAAAGGATGTTATCCCAACAAAAGTAAAGGTTTTTTGTCCTAGAGGACACTGGGAAGGTAAAGCATAAAGCTTTCTTCACCCTCAGCTTTCATGCAATAGACTATGATGAAGAATCCACCTAGAATATAGACCCCAGTCTCTTCAACACATTATTCTGAACTAACCTTCCCAGGACTGATAAATGCTTCAGTGAGACAGATGGGCTGGGAGTCTGGTCCCCAGGAGGTCCCACAAGGCTCAGGCAGACACAATGATCAATGTGCGACAAATACACTCAATAATCAGTTAAAGCTGAGTTAAATCAGCTACTACAGTGTTTCTACCAAGTCATGCACAGCCTAGTCAGAGACTTCTGTAGCTCAGCAGGCAAAGTCCAAAACTGCCAGACATGAACAGATCTCCCACCACTCCTTCACTAGCACACCCCTAGATCAGAATGAAGGTCCACCCACAGATCTTGCTCTCACCCACCCAGCCTTGCTACATGGCTGTACACTTCAGAGACTCATTTCTGTGCAGCAGCAGGATGGGGCTTCTCTGGAGGGCAGCTCTCAGATTAACATGGCACATGCCATAGCGTTCAACACGCCTAGAACAGGAAAGCCTTCCTGGACCTCACAAGACTGATTCAGTACCTTGCTCAGGCAGTGCAAGATAGCTGTCTCTGGCAGATATGAGGACAGAAAGCCACATATAGACCCCTGGGAGAGCAAGGGGAAAGTCTTGCTTGGATTGCTCTGCCAGCCTTCCAGATGCTCCAGTTTCCCCTCATACCCCCATTTCCAGGGAAGCCCCCTAAACCAAGTACTCTGGCCTAGGTCTGGCTAGATAATGCAGAGCCATTTAGAAATATGAATTGAAAAAAAAAAAAAAGTATTATGAAGCAATCCTCTGCAGACTAACACCCACGGGATTAATTTCCTGCTGTCTGCTCTCTCACCTTGCTGCTCAGCCAGACTTCTCTGTTGAGGCAGGGGACACTCTGGTTCTTCAGCACAGCTCTCAGCCAGCAAGGAGAGCCAAGGTATTAGAGCAGGTAGATTCAAGCCCAGCTCCCCACTTGCCTCTCTAGTGTAAACACATTAGGAGCTGGCCTTAAACTGAATCTGAACTCAAGCACACTGTCTACAACAATCTCTCCAACAGAAAAAAGAAAGATATAGAAGGGACAAAAATGGTGAGAAAAGAAACCATGTAAAGAAAGTCAGAAATAAAGCTGCCTTTGTTCTGCTCTTAACATATCAAGTGAGATGCAAGATGTTAGCATAGAAAGATCCTGCTCATGAGGCCTTCAAACTTTCTCCTCCCTCTGCCTCTCTCCATGAGGCTGCTGCGTTCCTTGTCCACGTTACCTCCTCCCAGAAGGAGGTAAGTATTTGTCCAGAAAGTGAGACTGGGTGAGCTCCCCCACCAAGAGACCAACCATGAAGTCTGAAAGGATCAGAGAGGAGCCATTGTTTCAGCCAGAAGACTAATTGCCAAGAGGGATTCAAAAGTCTCTAGCTGGGGGAGAAGGGGAGAACACTGAACAAAGAGATCAGAGTCTCCTGAAGGACCCAGCCTGAGGCTCAAGGTGATTTCTGCCAGCAGGGTATTTTGTTGATAAGGACTGCAGAGATACTCAGTCTGCCAGGCATGAGCCTGCAAGGTGGTAAAGCATTCCCTGTTGGCCCTGTGATAATGCCCGTACTATCTAGTTATACAATGAGCCTTAGGTTGTTTTCCTAAACCAGGCAGTGGCTGGCAAAGCTAAAATAAGCTACTGTTGTCTCACGCTGCAGTAAAGCAGCCTCACACATAGTTTCTTTTCTCCCTACTGATATTTTTCTTCTTCCACTCAGCTGCACAGACGATACTCATGCCATCAATGCAAGAGCAGGGCACTCCCAGACCAACCAGGGAACAACTTAAAAGAGGTTCAAACTCCAAGTGCTTTGATCAGGAGAGTGGCTCCAGCAGAGCCAAAATAAATGTTTGCCAATAATCCTGTGCTCTCTGTTTGCTTGTGTGACTCCCATTTTATTAGCTTTCCTATGGTAAATTTTACAGCTGGGGTTAGCAGAGTGATAAAATGCACAGATTATTCTTCGTTGTTGCTGGTTTGCTTCTCCCCAATTTAACACAGCTTTACCTTGAAAAACCAAATACTTTGATCCAGGATGTTCTCTTGCCCCTTGCAAAACCTCACCTCCTTCTCCTACATGACAAACATCAGTTTAGAAAACAACAGGCTGCCCCAGGGCAGG